TGGATTTTTTTTTTTTTTTTGTGCGACAATCAAGCAATCTCAGAAATTTCCAGATTGGGAAATTCTAACACCTTGTGGAGGTTCTGTTTTTCTTTTATAGCCTTAATGAACCAGGGTTATGAAAAACTTAAAGTTGGAAAGAACCCTTGAGCTTTTATAATGACAATGGCGCATATTTTTTGAGATGAAAGAACGCCGTTTCAGACCTTACTTGCTAGATTTCCCCTTTTCTGGAAAAAAATGATAATGAAGGCATGACTGCAGTATAGTTTAACTGGTTGTACGAAGTTAGCGGGTTGAAATCTTTGCGAGTTTATGTAGGTTTGCCCTGCTACTACACCGTTTACCACCTCTAATTCTTTTTTGAAGTGTCTATTTAGACTCCCAATTGGAATCAATCGGATTAATTTATCCAAAAAATCCTATTATGGGTAGGCAGCCTTCAATCCCACGAGACGTATCATATCTAAGTTTACAATGGAGAGAGCTGTAATCAATTTGATCCATTTGCCGCCAGTGGAGTAAAGGTAGTATGTAAGTACACTATGAGGAGACCTTCCTTAATGCTGGTAAGATAGTAAGGACATGAGATTTAAGCCCTCACAAGTATACGTCACTTTTCTTTTAATAATAATACAAATGAAGTTTACAAAATTGAGCATCAAACTGGAATTTGGGGCAAAAAAGCTAGTTTCTCTGCAACGTTGCCCAGAAAAACAGGGTAACGGCCAATCTCCGGCCCAAGTTACAGCATTTCAAGATTAATATACGTTCCCCTTCTTTCTTTCCTTTCTATGTGACATGAGTTATCTCTGCTCATTGTCTCAATCAAGGACCTGTAAGTAGGTCAGGATTCGTGGACCGCGACCTGCCATCGTTGTGAGGCATTTCTTCTGGAATGTCCACACTAGCAACAATGTTGGCTGTTTGACTAGAGGACGATGGCTCTACATTAGACATTTCTATTCTTGATTGGTGACCACCTTTCGTGCTCGGGGAAGTTTCAGGTGAGTCCCCTGGACTCCCTAATTTTCTCGTTTCGACTGGTCCAGGCTTTGTAGGTTTCTTCTTTTTTGCATTCTTATGCCAATTCATCAGTGCCTTGGAAGTTTGATCATCAAATATAGATCTTTTCATAGTTGATCCCATCTGAAAATTCCAAAAAAAGAAAGAAAATGAAGCATTTAACATGTTTTTGAGTTTATTTTGTAATGAAATAAGTAACTTTTAGCTACCTGGGTAACTAGTGCATACAGCGGAAGTGTAATGTAACTGCACATAATTTGAACACCTAACCTGACAAGCAACTCTTTTATCAGCTAGAGTAAGAGTGTATGGTAAAGGAACTTCAACTAATTGGTTGCTTTTGGAACTTAACACAATGAAGATAAGTACTTGTTCATTACCCTATAGCAACTCGCAATAAGGCGAGATAAAAATTATCATGAAAGCAGGAATGAAGCCCGAATTCATACTGCAGAAAATGGAATATCATCATGTTACACCACAAATGACAAGAAAAAAAAAATGGAACTGAATTTTTTTCCCGAGGAAAGTGTCCTTACCGATATCCAAAGGAAATAAGTGATCTCGAAAGCATTCTGCAAAACATTAAGGAAAAAAAATTTAGCTTGATATTTGCTTCCAAGAGTCATCTTTTGAAAGGTGGAAGGTGAGCCTTAGCGTAATTGGTAAAGTTGCTGCCATGTGGGCAGAAGGTCAAGGGTTCGAGCCGTGAAAACAGCGTCTTGCATAAATGCAAGGTAAAACTGCGTACAATAGACTCTTGTGGTCCGGCTCTTCCCCGGACCCCGCGCATAGCTGGAGCTGGCTGCCCTTTTATTTGCTTCCAATGGTCATCTTTTGAAAGCAAGATCTCGGACAAAAGCATTGCCCACATGGAAGATCACCAAGATTAAGCTTCCAGATATAGAAAACTATATTCTTTTCTGTATATTATTTACGAAAAACATCATGAAAATGTTTTAACAGAAAAGATTAAGCTCTGTACTATATCTCTACTACTTTTAGAACCTAAATTCATTGGAAAACCCAACTTGGTCTCGCAATAATGTTGAAGTCTAAAACTGCTCTGCAGTCTCCCAACTTCCTCCAACAGTCCAGACTACATTCATGCTCTCATATTTTTAGCCTCTTAATCTCTCTCTCTCACTTGTTTTACTTGGAGTTATATACAACTCATTAATGTTATTTTTCAAAGATGCACAGACAGCAGACGTTAGATATAGGAGGTGGGGCGGAGTACCTGAAAGAGGGTGAGATGGACAAGATGAAGAATAAGCTTTGGTTTGCCAAACCAAAAATGTCTGTCTGAAACTTGGACAAGAGGTATGCCTTGGACTACAGCATGTCTTTCTTGAATTTCAAGAGCCATCTGAGCTATAATTGCTTGAAGCTTTGTCCCAACTGCTAATATTATCTTTAACCAATCCAGTGGTTAGTTCTCTCTTCATTTTAAAACAAAGTAGAATGCAACAAGTAATCAAATAATGATAAGGGTTTCTTACAACTAGAGGCAATATGGACAGCCAAAACATAGCTTGCCATCCTGAAACAGAATATATTTGTATTGGAAATTAAAACTAATATAATTCTTCTGATTGGAATTACTTTCAAGAGACAATATGTCTTAATAGAAACAATTGAGGTCACTAGAATTACCATGAACATTCATCAGAAGATAAACAACTGCAGAAAACCATAGCAATGAACTGGAAGTATAACAAAGATAAATCATTAGCAGCACATCAAAACCAGAGAAAGACTTTAAGTTATGTATACAATGAAAAAAAAAAAAGTAACACTGAAAAGAAGAAGATGAATGTTGTTTCAGTTCACGTCGAAAGGAACGTACTTGATACCCACAACAATCTTGAAGTCATCTTCTAGAGATCTTTTAATGTACTTTTGAAAATTAAACTTACTTCCTGGTGCTAAATGGACCTGCAACAAGAGGAAATCAATAAGCAAAAGAACTATAATTTGATTGTAAGAAGCCTTGAATTTGTGAACCTCACCGAGATGAAACCATGGCGCATGGTCAAGTAGTCAGCTTTCCGAACTGACCTAAAAAATTGCCGAAAAAAGCACACCTGAAAATATTGGGAAACTAGTTAGAGAAGATGAAATAATAGTTCGTTCAATGGTCATATTACAACATTTCACTCGTTACATTATGTTAGATTACTGTATCACCAACTAATTCCACCGTATAAGTAATTGCACAGAAACTTTAATTTAATAAACTAACCTAGTGGACTGGAACACACAAATATGATTTCCATGCCTACAACAAGATGCCTAAAAGTGATATATGCACAACCATTCTTTTAAGAAAATCACACTAGGAATATCAAGTTCATTATAGAACTAACTCACTAAAGCTTTAAACTGAAAAACAATAGGCTTTTACTATCACAGACAAACCTATCGAATGCCCCCATTTATAACATATTGATAAATATGCAAAAAAGAAAAAGGCGGGTGGTTTAGTTTTTCTTACACTGTAGAAAAGGATAGGGGTAGTCCCAAAACTGGTATTATCCCTAACAAATGATGTCTCTTTGGTAAGCCTGAATCTTGAGGAATCTGCATTGAAAGGACATATAAGAAAGAAAAGAAATACAGGTGAAGAATTAACGATTAAATCCCTATTGGTTTTAATGTGAAATGTAAAATATCCTACAAAGGAAGAGTTCTTAGATCACTTTCGCCTGGATGGTTAGACTTAACATAATCCAACAATTGTATAGGATAGCAAGGGGCATGGGGGAATGGCATTCAATGACAATAGTGAACAGCAAAAATTTAAGCTAATCATTGCATGATTGGAGCAAATGTATGTAACAGGAATAGCAAGATTGAATCGGAAATTGTTTATACTTTTAAAAGGTTATAAGTCATTCACCTCATCTAATGCAATATATATTCTTAAGCAAGACGTTTTCAATAGTTTTATATCGGTAAATGATTCACCAAGAAAATGCATTGTTGGAGAATATCTTATGTCATGCCACACTGAGCCCAAGGGGAAATAAATGTAATAAGGAAGAGAAATGCTAGACGAGAGAAGAAGAGTGATGGAAAGAAGAACACTTTATTAGAGAGAATTCCTTGTAACTCAATAGATTGTCAAGTGACAAGTATAAGGGGGTACATATAGGTGCCAATAGAATGTTGTAAGCTCACTTCTGCAACTGATTTTCACAATTACACACACACTGAACTTTACCGTATCGGAAACACAGGATTCATGCACCTACGTAACATAAGAGTCATGCAACTAATAACATAGATATCCTAAGAGTCACATGGATTACGCCAAACAGGCACCTAGTAGTTCTAGAATTTCAAGATTAAAATTTCCTAACACCCCCTTAAAAATCTTCAAACTTAACTGATTTTACAAAATATCTGTAATTTGGTTGGGTCTACTTCACCTCCCTTGGAAACATTAAAGATACCAGAACAGGGATATGTATATATTTCAATAGGATAGGTTCTAATGATTTGTACTCCTTGGTGTGGAAACTGTTTTTTTTTTTTTTTTCAGTAGACAGGGTAATCCTTTATTTCTTCT